CTATTTGACGATATATATATATATATAGTAGAGATAGTAAGATACATAACTGGAAATTTTGCATTAGTTTTCCAAATTCCGGTTTTTTGAAAGCATCCTTGATCACAGTCTCTGCTCTGACTGTCTCGGCGCAGAAAACATCTGCTTCTTGGACACAGCACTATTTCCTCTGGATGGGAGGGAGGTAGGGCAGTCGAGAACTATAAGAGCGAGCTGGTCAGACCCTGGGGCACATGAAGCGACACTGACTAGTTCAACGGAGTACTCGACACAGGCTTGAGTAGCCACCTTTCCTCTTCTTCCTCCTCCTCCTCCTCCTCCTCCTCCTCCTCCTCCTCCTCGTCTTCTTCTTCTTCTTCTTCTTTAAGAGGTGATGGCCTTGAAATATCATCATCGAGCTGGCCGGCCCCAAGTGATTCAGCGTTATTTAATTATGGTCATCTGATTGTATCTGGACTCGAATTTGGGTCTGTAAAAAAAAAAAAAAAAAAAAAAAGTGAAAAAAAACGGGTAAAAGATATCTCATATCGTTCATTGCCTTCCAAGTACCACATGCCAAATCACACTTGAACGAGACGAAATCGCCCACCCCAGGTATCGAACCTGCGACCTGCTGATCTCAAATCAGAACACATACCACAAGGCAAAGGAATCTGGGTTGAAACTGACTCGGAGGCCTGCAGATGCAAATTTCAGGCCAGCCCAGCCCAGCCCAGCCCAGCATGGTTGGTGCAACACATACTACTGTAACTTAGTGTAACCAGAGTCAATTCTAGCAACCCACCCCAAGCAGATGTAGTTCCGTTGCAACACATAAATTTTCCGGGCAAAGTGAGCTGCGATGAAGCTGAAGCCCGGAAAATTTATGTGCATTGCGACCCACCCCAGCAGATGTAGTTCCGTTGCTATAGTGTGTGTACCGCTGCCACCAAAGCGCCAACAAAAGTGTCCTTGTTCCCAGATGGAGAATGATATTGTTGCCTGTGAATGTGTCGTCCGGGTGGCCAGGCCAGTAGGGTAAGATGGCCCCGGCTGGGCCAGGGCCAGTAGGACGCCGGAACCATACACTGCCATATTCAGTCGCACCAGCCGCAGGACAGAACCGTGGAAGGGCAGTGCAGGAAGATGCGTTCTATGGTCTCTGCCCCTCTTCTTGTTCTTTGGCTGGGCAGCAGTGCAAACATCGGGCATGCGAGGGAGACCAAGGCCTCGTTGCTCCCAAGGAGGTATGATCGAGAAACCAGCTGGTTGGTGGGCACACACTTGTGGGCCATTTGCCACTGCAAAGCGGGGATTTTTGCTGGATCAGTGCGCTTGTCGCCCATTTTTTATTTTTATTTTTTTTTGGGACAAAAGCTCCAATCTATTCGTGGGGAGCAGCACGTG